TATTAAGATCAAAGAGATGTTGAACATGCTCAATCTTGCCAACTTGGCATTCCATCGCAACGGCGTTTCTAATTTAAAATACAATCTTAATAACGTTAGACAAATGTTTCACAGTATGACCCGAGTTACTAAGAAGCAAAAATACCTACGAAAGTCTGTTCTTCGAGATCATTTACAGTGCATTATGAAAAATCCAACGAATGTAATTAAAAACGTAATAATTCGCGTGCGATGGACAATTGCAGTTTGTGGAAACTTGATAGTGAGAGAACTTTACAGTTCATATTAAAAGGGATATTCGAGAGAAATATTTTCTAAGCGAAACCGTCCTGGGTACGACGATAAACTACATCCGCGCTCTGGGTATGACGATAAATTACATCCGCGACCTGGGTAAGACGATAAACTACGTCCAACAGAATGGCCTCTGATCAGAATGTTTTGAGTAACTTGGAAACACGTCTTAATTTCTAGTGTTCCTAGGTCCACCCTGACCCGGGGTGGTAGCACCTGTTAGGGTACCAGCTATGGGCAAATAGTTAACACTCAGACTGGGGTCAAAATACTAGGGTTTAATACCAAAAATACTTTGTAAAATATTATTAGCAGCAATATGTTTCGGAAAAAATGATATTACCAGCAACAGATTTTTTTGAAGATAAAAAAGATATTACCAGCAATAGACTTAAAAAGATATATATATATATATATATATATATATATATATATATATATATATATATATATAATTATTTTTATAAAATAATTATAACATAAGTATGTTATAAAATCACTACAAAAATAGCCATTTTGTTTCAACACACTCTGTGTCTTATCAAGTGATGATGTTGAAAAGAAAATAAATGGTTTTAAAAGTTTCAGATTAATTAACGATCCTACACTAGGGGGAAACATTGTTACAAAAGCTAGAATAACCAATCAAAAACGAAGTATAGAAAGATTCAAAAGCTTGACAACGAAATTCTGCTATAATAGCTATTCAGATCTTTAAATACGTGTAATATTAAAAATAATTTATACTAACTAATAATTATAAATTTATATGATAAAATTTAATATTAAAATTAAAAACTGGCAATTTTTAAAATCACTATTAAGTTTAAAAACTACAAAATTATTGAGAAAAGAAAAAATATATATGTTTATTCAATTCATTTCTTCATTGAAATTACGTTCGACAAGACAAGACGCTACAATACATCCGGTCATTTGACAATACATGTATATATATTTTTTTCTTTTTCCCTTTCTTTTCCGTTTTTATTTTAAAGTTTGTGAATATGGTCTTAAACTCACGCGTGGCACAACAAAAACACAATCAGATTATAATACATAAGCACCCAGACATAATTAGATACACACACACACACACACACACACACACACACACACAAAACATTCACACACGCTAAAAAAAAAAAAAGAAAAAAAGAGAGGTGGGGGGATACATGAACATCTCTACAGCCCTTTATGAAAAAAGGAGACGTGGAAAATAACACTTATACACACACACTTTGTATTGAGCACTCTTTTAAGATATCTGCTCTACTTTGTATTGAGCACTCTTTTAAGAATAGTAATTGTTGGTTATTGGAATTCATTCCGTATATACCAATTATATACTTTGATATATATATATATATATATATATATATATATATATATATGAATAAACACTTTGTCGGCAATAAATAACCCATTGAGGTCTATATGCCGTAAATCCAACCCAAACGAACCTAACTTAACGAAACTGGCTAAAGCATTGTTGGTACATCCGAACACCATAAGCATCTTTTTCATACACAGAACAAATATTTCTTGCCCTTCCCGTTGCTAAAGAGCCCTTTATGAATTTATACATCAGATGGTGTCAGATATGATTCTGCCAGAAACTCATATTTACAGGGTAAATCCCGCAAAGAAAGAAAGAGCCATAGAATATTCAAATGAATCGTTATTTTATCATAAGTATTAAAACATTCCCTCAACATAATGCAACAGGACGTTACTTCTAGACTAATAAGGAAAATCGATTGTTCTTCTACACGATTTTCTATGTTCAGAATATTTTTTCAAACGGCTTTCTCTCAGGGCACACATTGAAAACTATCATAGAGTTTCTGCTGCTCAAAAGGAGACAGAAACTCACAAGAGATCCGTGTATATTCCACAAGAGATCCGGTTATATTTCACAAGAGATCCGTGTGTATTTCACACGAGATCCGTGTATATTTCACAAGAGATCCGTGTATATTTCACAAGAGATCCGTGTTTATTTCACAAGAGATCCGTGTATATTTCACACGAGATCCGTGTATATTTCACACGAGATCCGTGTATATTTATGAAAAAGTTTTCTTTCCTTCATGTAAGCATAGTAAGGACATAGATCTTAAGAGTTAATTCCTGGCCTAGAAAGAAAGGTGGAACTGGTATTAGTGACATGCATTTCGGCGGTTGGCCAGCTAAGTACTGGGAAGAAAAATTTATGCACGCGTGCTCTTAGGACGACTGAAAACTAATCAATCCGTGAAAGTATTCTGGTTAGACCGTATAGTTTTAATCCCCATGCCTACACAAGAGGGTGTGTAAAGTAGGTTAAGAGTAAGCTAACAAAATCTGAGGGAGATGCAACTCACACAATTCACTGAGGCGAGTGGAAATGTACTCATTTGAGCTGTCACGATTAGAAAAGAAGGAAAAGATGCCGAAGACGTGACTTTGAATCAGGATTCTGCAGTTAATTTGGTATATTTTGAGAGACGCTTCTATTAATTCGATTGTAATTAAAGAGCTGACATGATTATTTTTACATTTACGGCTACAATTGAAAAAGAGGGAAACTATGTGATATTCTAAATTACGAATTCCGAGGCTATTATATGCATTTTTATATGTTTTAACTGCTTTTCCTATTAAATTTTTTTGTAGCTCATAATATTATAAAACTTATTTTTTTATTATTATCGGATATTATTTCTAACCGTCCTTCTTACAGAGATTGAGGAGAATAGAGAATATATGTTCACGGCTAGATGGGAATGCTCAAACATTAATACCCATATCAGTCAGTTATGTGCCATACGTGATACACATTTAGGCGATCATGTATCTTGCGATACATGACTGACGAGGCAGATTTTTTTTTTTTTCCCGCGGTAGTTTGCCAATTATTTCTGCGGTAGACCAGTTGCCACTCAAGGCTATAGAACCCGGTCTGTCCTGCTATTTACCCATTGCTTTGGGGTGGGGAAAGAAGAGGATTCATACCTTTCCCAAGGCTATTAGCACGTAATTGAATGTAATGGATTCTTCAATGTACCGCCCATGTACTTATATTTTATCAGCTTCTACTTATTATTTTCTAACCATCTTTCGTACCACGTTTGGGAATCTATGGAGAATATATGTTGACGGCGAGATGGGAATCCTCGGACATCTATATTCTTTTACTTAATTTTTGTCTGCTTGGTCTCTTAAAAGCTGTTGTAATTAAATAATATTTTATTGCGTTATAATCGTTCTTCATGCCACGATTAAGATGGACGGAGAGTATTTGTTAACGGCTAGATTAGGTACATTTATATTCATTTACGTATGCTTTGTCTGCTTCTGCTTCTGAAAATCTGTGCCATTGAAACTCAGGTAAATCATTCAGAACTATTAATAATGATATCGTAATTGAACTCTAATTAGATTATGTTGAAAGCATCCGGGTAACTCATTAATGCTCTTTTTCCTTGGGAAATTTAAATTTCACCTGTAATTGCTTGACGGAGTCGACGGAGAATATCTCGTAATATGTATTTAGTGCTATATAAAATCAGTTCTTGATAATTTTGCCGGTCTTAATCGTATTGCGTTTCATTACAAGATATATATCATTTGTGTGACTTGTGAAAAATCTGATAATGAAGTCTACATGTTCTCAATTGTGAGCGAATGATGTTTGTTATCTTATTCTCGGCCGGCAATCGCTTAAAGAATCTCAATTTTTGATATATTCTCATTAATAGATATTGAGAGTGATGAAGCGTCTTCTTTTTCTTTTCAGGAACTATTTTATTGGCTTAATGTTCGTAAAAATATAGTAATTACCTGTGCATTTTGAAAAAATAAAATGTAACAAATACAGGGTATACATAAAGTTCGTGTGCACTTTAAAAAATTTATAACTTTATAATAATAATAATAATAATAATAATAATAATAATAATAATAATAAAAAATAATAATAATAATAAACTAAGCAAATAAAAAAAAGCTGGAGATAGAAAAATATGGCAATTACTAACTAAAAAAAATTGCTCCTGTTGAAGCTGGATTTCAAGAGCAAATCAAGAAAATCCATGGGGCACTATCTCTCCATTTCAAGAAATAGTTCTAACAAGCAGAGCCTGTGCACTACAATGACCTTTATCCATGTGGTTAATAACTATTATGTGGAAACAACAAATCAGTACATCCATGAGTTTATTTATTTATTTATTTTTATTATATTTTTAATATCAAAACTTAGTGTAATACGTCCCCACCTCAATCAGTACATTATGAACGACCAAATAACAACTATCAACATAAGACAAACACTAGTAGATAAAACCAAAATACTTTACAACACCCAATGCAAGAAAAGACACAAAACTCTGGAAGCTATTATTATACAAAATAAACAGCCTACATTAAATAAAATAAACTATATTATTAATTTTATAACAATCAACACTATAGGGAAAATAATTAGAGCTACCGTCTGGATTTCCCAAAATAAGAATATATCATGAATATATCATGAATATATCATGAATTGCATATCATATAATGTGAGCAACATATTATATTTGCATTAAAGATATAATAAATTATTATTTAATAGTATATATAAATTATATATTGTATAATAATTATTATATTAATATAAAACATATAATAAAAAAAAATAATTCAATAATTAATTAAATTCAAAAAATAATTTTTAATCATTTCATCCTATGCGAGGCGATAATTCTATTAGGATGTAAGTCTTTACTGGGAGTGAAAGAGTAGGAGAAGGCTTTAGTGAAAGAGTAGGAGAAGGCTTTAGCGAAAGGGTAGGAAAAGGCTTTAGTGAAAGGGTAGGAGAAGGCTTTAGTGAAAGAGTAGGAGAAGGATTTAGCGAAAGGGTAGGAGAAGGATTTAGCGAAAGGGTAGGAGAAGGCTTTAGTGAAAGGGTAGGAGAAGGCTTTAGTGAAAGGGTAGGAGAAGGCTTTAGTGAAAGAGTAGGAGAAGGCTTTAGTGAAAGGGTAGGAGAAGGATTTAGCGAAAGGGTAGGAGAAGACTTTAGTGAAAGAGTAGGAGAAGGCTTTAGTGAAAGGGTAGGAGAAGGCTTTAGCGAAAGGGTAGGAGAAGGCTTTAGTGAAAGTGTAGGAGAAGGCTTTAGTGAAAGAGTAGGAGAAGGCTTTAGTGAAAGGGTAGGAGAAGGCTTTAGTGAAAGGCTCGGAGAAGGCTTTAGCGAAAGGGTAGGAGAAGGCTTTAGTGAAAGAGTAGGAGAAGGCTTTATTGAAAGGGTAGGAGAAGGCTTTAGCGAAAGGGTAGGAGAAGGCTTTAGTGAAAGGGTAGGAGAAGGCTTTAGCGAAAGGGGAGGAGAAGGCTTTAGCGAAATAGTAGGAGAAGGCTTTAGTGAAAGAGTAGGAGAAGGCTTTAGTGAAAGGGTAGGAGAAGGCTTTAGTGAAAGAGTAGGAGAAGGATTTAGCGAAAGGGTAGGAGAAGGCTTTAGTGAAAGGGTAGGAGAAGGCTTTAGTGAAAGGGTAGGAGAATGCTTTAGCGAAAGGGTAGGAGAAGGCTTTAGTGAAAGGGTAGGAGAATGCTTTAGTGAAAGTGTAGGAGAAGGCTTTAGCGAAAGGGTAGGAGAAGGCTTTAGCGAAAGGGTAGGAGAAGGCTTTAGCGAAAGGGTAGGAGAAGGCTTTAGTGAAAGTGTAGGAGAAAGCTTTAGTGATGAGAAATGACTAAAGGAATAGAGATGTCGATTGGTTTTGTATTTGATTTTTTTAAATATTATCGTTGTCAGGAAAGCAGGAAATATGAAGGAATTTCCATTGGTAAGTAGTATGAGAAAAGAACCTATTAAATAGAAATATACTGTTACATCAAACCATGTCAACAGTAAAACAGTGATAACTAGTTGACAATATTAGTACTACATTTTAATCTATGCAGTCGAGGTATCAAAGAAGAAAGATTATGTCATGAAAATATTTTAAGAAAAGCCACAGGAAAGCTACGTCACGGCGGTGAGAGTCTGATTGATCTCGAGATGCCAGGTTAGGATCGATTACATTATCGATCTTTCTTTGAATCTTGTCAAGTATGGCGAGATATATATTAAAAGCACCAGACCAGATATGGCAGCAGTATTCAATACATAAAAATGGTAGATTTATAAATCTGCAAGATGGATTCTGATGAGAAAAACTGTCTGGCATGGCACAGTGAAACAAATTCCCCTACAGAAAGTTTAGCTGTTGATTAACTATACTCACCCCACTTCATGTCAGTGGAAAACGTGAGCCCGTGTTGCTCTCCTGGGGGTTAGCATTGACCATGCTAATGGCAGACAAAAAAGTTTTGTTTTTTTTATATATATATGATGATTAAATAAAAGCAGTTTTATTTTGAAGGGTTAACATTTACAAGCCAATCCTTGTCCTAGTAAACCCCAGATTGAACGTCATTTCGAGAGCAATTGTCAGTTTTATTTTGTTGGACATGTCGCACATCCTACTAAGGCAAAGGTAAAGAGTTGTGTCATAAGTACAAATGTTTAGTTCGGAACTAATGACATCCGGGAAGTCGTTGATGAAGATAAGAAACAACGTCGGTTCAAGGGTAGAGCCGTTGGAAGAAGTTCAACTTTAATGTTCAAAGATCAACAAGAATGGCCGTTCAACACAATATTCATTACAGGGTTTATTAGGAAAGATCTGATTATCAAAATATTCGTTCAGAAACTCGTTAGACCTGGCGAAGTCATCACGTGATGTGGTTTCTGTTATTTGGTGCAGTTCTTTGCGACTCTTTCAATTAGGCAAAAAGATTTAGAAGGTTCCTTTGCTCGATATCGTTTTTTCGTCATTAATCAATGATGGATAAAACATTAACGATGGGATAAAACTGACAGTTCAGAGATTTCTGAACGGGTCTAGCGTCATACATGACACCCTTATTGTTGTAACTGAGTTATCAAAAACAACAGTAGAAAAAAGGGAATTGGGTTAACAACAAGTTCATTACCTTTTGGAAAACATAATTTAGAATAGAATCCAAGGTAGAGAATGTTTAGCCGTGAATGTCTGTTTTCATTAAAGGCTACTGCTCCTCCTCCTGCTACTCCTCTTGATGTAGGAATATTTTTATGTCTTTCTTCCGACGGCCGAGTCAAAACTTGTAGGAAAATATTCTCCCGCACAACACTTATAAAAGTTAAAATGAGATGAAACTATTTAAGAACATGAATTGAGTTTTCAGGTTAATATTTTGGTTTTGTATAAATTTATGGTGTTGTGGAAAACTAATCTCTCGCAACCGATTCGTCAACGTCCCCGAGTCAGTATTCGAAGAAATTGCTTTCGATCCCTAGGCCAATGTTCTGATGATACCGGGTGGGGCCTATGCTGAGGACATAGATATTCATAGTTGCGATAAAAACGGTCTTGAACAGAATTCTTTACAAAGTGTCCAAGAAATGGGGCTCAAAAAAAACCTTTCCAAAATAGAAACTATGATCAGGAATTGGAATGAGACCAGTGATGGTACATGCATTGATTCCGTCATAAACATGTTGAATTAGTAAATACTAAACACTTTAGATACCTCGGCGTATGGATCCGTTATAACAAATTAAGTACAGGAGATAAGTAAATTGAACTTATAGGGTGTTCCAATAAGTTGAACCGATTTTAAATGTGAATTAAGTTTAAGCATATAATGATCTTTTTTTTTCTTTTCCTATCAGATCTAACAAGTTAAGTCTATAGCAATTTCAACCATGGAAAGATTAACATTCAAACAACGTGTTAAAGTTGTTTAGTATTCCTAAGTGGTCACCCATCTGCATACTGATTAAGCTTGACATTGCTTAAATCCGGTGATTGTACGAGAACCGGGGCTTCGATGCCATATTTCTGTAAGTAATCGTCGTAATATTTAGGATATCCTGTGTATAATCTAGAATATTTCACTTATTTGATATTCCAAAATCGAAAAGTGGAGCGGAAAGAAAAACTTGCATCATGCTAAATTTTGACATGTATCGCCTTTATCTAGGAATCTATTTGAAATGAATGCTTAATAGAAGTTGCGACTAGTCTTAAAGTATATTTAACTATTCGATTTAAATTAGAATATAAAATGATCTGAGCCTCGCAATCAAAGAAACAACAAATATTTTTTCTTTCTTTTTTTTAAGTTTTGCCATTTTGATACCTCTAATCTCAGAGCAAATAATGAATATATGGTTGGGTTTCGAATACTTTCAACGCTGATACATTTTGCCTTTTTGTTTAGATAGAATTCTTCAAATTTTAGAATGGGAAAAATTCTGATTATTTTGTTAAGGGGAGGTTTTTATACTTATTGATAGAAATTCACATAATTGTCAAAGAAGTGCAGTGCTGATGCGGTGGATAGAGTTCTTCCAATTTTAGAATGTGGAACAGTAAGATGATTTGTAATTGCATTTTGATAAATTAATTCTTTTTTTACTAGTGTTCACCCAATACAAGACCCAAGAACCATTCATGCTAGAGTGTTACTGTACGGAGTTGTATTAGCTTAAGTAAGGACAAATGTTAGTAGAATTAAAGCAGACTTTAGAGGGAACCGGAAACCTAATCCTAAACAGGAAATAAGGGATAAAGCTTTATTCCTGTTCGAAAGAATGAGGAGAAGTGTGAACCGGATGATAGGCGAACCTATCTACTTCTATTTAAGGAGCTGACCTCTTTTTGATTTGAGAATGGGGAGTTTTCAAATCATTTTTTTTTCTTACGAATTCTGGTAACAATAAAATAGACCGAGATCTGATACCCCACTGAATAATAAATGATCAAGATTGTTGATATTGTAGAAATTGAAGCAATATTAATTTAGCTTCACAACTTCACTAGTTCTAATCTATGATACCTCATTTGAACCGAGCGCTAACATCTTGACTATGTTCAGAAAAATGTGTATTTTAAAAGTTATTATAGTAGACCGAAATAAAAATGTCGGATTAAAATGAAATCCATGAATGCTTTAGAAACTGATTTTCTTACGTTTCCAATACAACACTGAACAGATCTAAAGCTTTCGGGAAAATAATTTAAATGAAGATCATCTGCTTTCCTTTAAAAATCTAAATTTAGATCCGCTGTAGTGTTGACATTGGTAAACACCTGGAATCTGAAATGAGCGTGTATTTACCTGCTATGAGACTGGAATAGACTTTAGCGTCGTGTAGTTAAAACAACTTCACTGTTAAAAGATGTTTTTATACAAGACATGAAAACACATCTATCGATCGTAAAAACTTGAGTTGTAAAACCCGAGTTTCAATGTAACTATCAGATATTCACCTACATGCAATTGATACATTAATTAATTCTACCTTTTCTACGGCTTCTCATCCCTTTGCAGGTTATTTAAAGCCAGAAAATATTTTTAGACTGTGAGAATTTTTCGGGAGGAGGGTGATAATGATTTAATGATACAAGTCTTACTAATTGAAACATAACTGTGGTGAGAAAAGGATAATTCATACCTTTCCCCAAGGGTATGTTCATGTGTTAATCTAACGAACATGACTTAAATTGGAACTCGGATCTCCGATTAATTATTTCAACCCCTGAACCATTACAACACCCACATATCTAGGCTTAGAGCACTTGGAATTCCAAAGAGGTCACTAGCTACTGACTTGACGTTATTTACATTTATTCCAGAATCTAAACTAGTATAATATTTTAACTATCAATCAAGAGCATTTGTTGTATCTGTGTAAGCGGCTGAATGATGAGAAAAGTGAAAAAAATTATATAATTTCTGAAAACAGGTCACACGCAAGCTGTTAATTTGCATTTGCTTTGATGGAATAATTCAAACTCTCATTATGTGTTCAAAAATCGACATTCACGGATCGATAATTAAAACGAGATAAGGATATTTGTCTTTAGTGTTTTGCTGATGAGAGTTAATATATTTTCGACTTGAATTATATGGAATCTAATTTCCCTTGGGGTAAAAATATACAGATGAATATTTCATAAGCATTGCCATCGGTTGACACAAAATTTTATTTGGGGACATTCAATAAAGATTCGACCGTCATTGCTCTACATTTAGCGCCACGTACGGAAGCATAACAGCAGGTGTTCAATATATATGATTGATTTATCAGTTTGGAAATAAATGGAATAACAGAGAGAAATGAAGCAAATAATTAGAAAAAAAATAAACATACTTTTTCTTTTGTAGTAAACATAAATCAATCAGAAATTGGTAAACAGATATATATTGTTTGAAATAGTGAACAATAAAAAAAGATTTGGGGTTTTGGATGAAGCGAGAGAAAATAATTAAAACTAATATATTAGGTTTCATTGAATCAATATAACAGAGGGAGATAAATGGAGAATGATATATATATATATATATATATATATATATATATATATATATAGAGAGAGAGAGAGAGAGAGAGAGAGAGAAAGAGAGAGAAAGGGAGAGAAAGATAGATAGAAGATAGATAGATATATAGATAGATAAAAAACGATTTTGGAAACTTAATAAAATCATTTTTAATTATTTTTTATCCTTTACATATAATTTCAATATGGTAATGTAAAATCCATACAAAGTTGCATTGCCCTAACTCGCTGGTAGTCCGAACTATCTTCGTAAAAAGCCAGTTATTTTTTCTCCGTATTCGCAATTCTTGTCACATCGTATAGCGTCAAGGACCAAAAAAAATGAACGACATAAATGTCTTCATAAAAGGCAAAATTCGGTATTAGTATTTTTATATTATGCAAATAATGGTATCGCGCTATAGTCTAGATTATTCTTATTCTATTATAATATTGTAATTATATTACCTTATTGAAATTATATGTAAACGATAAAAAACATAATTAAAAATGATTTTATTAATTTGCCAAGTTGACTTTTTTTGCCTGTGGTTTGGTAGGGTTTAAATTTAGTATTCTTCTGCCACTAGACTACCATTAGTTATGTAACTTTTTGTTCATTACACTTTTTCTGAATTATGAGCGAAATTCAACATTTTCATTTTCACTGTGTCTCTTTTATTCGCATTCTCAATTTCTTCCATATCTTTATATAACGAAATGTGTTCAGATCTTTCTATAGCTGTTATATCTATCTATCTATCTATCTATCTATCTATCTATCTATCTATCTAGTAACTAGCGAGCTACTAGATAGATAGATAGATAGATAGATAGATAGATAGATAGATAATATATATGAGCAGGGGAATTCTTACAAGTTTTTAAGGATTTCACCTCAAGCAAGGCGTGAGTACCACTAGCACAAAAGGGGTTACAGAGAATGGGAGCAGTTACCAGATCAGGGCCAATCACATATACATCCGTCTCTGGATTTTGTCGAGGACCTTAAGACGAAAAGTGGGGGCTCCAAACCATATATGCAACAGAGAGAGAGAGAGAGAGAGAGAGAGACCTACATAAATATATATATATATATATAGATAGATAGATAGATAGATAGATAGATAGATAGATAGATAGATGGGTTGAGAGTGATATCTGTGTAGAGAGAGAGAGAGATACATACATAGATACATACATATATCAGCATAGATAGATATATAGATAGAGCGAGTGAGCCAGATAGATACACACATATATACATAGATATATATGTGCAGAGATAGATAGATAGATAGATAGATAGATAGATAGATAGATAGATATAGACATAGGTATAGCATATATGAGCAGAGGAATTCTTACAATTTTTTTAAGCCTTTCATCCCAAGCAAGGCGGGAGTGCCACTAGCACGCAAGGGTTTGCATAGAATGGGAGTAGTTACCATGAAAGTATTTGTAGAAAAGACAGAGAGAAGCGACGGCAAACGAGATTCCAAATCAGGGCCAATCACATTGTATATCCGTCTCTGGATTTTGTCGAGGACCTTAAGACGAAAGTGGGGGCTCCAGACCATATATGGCAGCAGTATTCCATGCATGTTCGAATGGTTGATTTATAGATTTAAAGGATGGACACGGAAGACAAAAATTTTCTGACGCTATAGAGAGAACCAGCTTTCCTTGCGATAGATGAAGCTATTGATTCACTGTATTCGTTCCATCTCAGGTCAACGGACATTGTGAGACCAAGCAGTCACAGAGAGGTGCTCACGTGGAGTTGAGCATCAGATATTCTAATGAGTGGCAGCGAGGGTTCTCTGTTGGGGGTAAAAGAGGGCAGTTTTGTTTTTGAGGCATTAAAGTTTACCAGCCATTTCTGGCCCCAGTCAACAACAGATTGGAACTCCTTTTCGAGACCAACGGCCAGGTTAATTTTGTCAGAGATGCCGGATTTGCTATTGAGGCAGGTGTAAATAGTATTGCCATCTGCATAGATGCCTACATGGGAACTAATGACATCGGGAAGATCGTTAATGACAAAACAGTGTAGGACCCAGGATAGAGTCTGTGTTCGTGAGAAAGGAGCTGGAGGAGAATCCGTTACAGCGACCTTCATTACACGGTTTGCAAATTAGTTACTCATATCTTTCGCATATTTATTCGATTATACACTATTCTAAATATGGATTGCCAATAGACTGTTTTAATGCTGCAACAGACGCAACTAGATTCCCTGCTTTTACTTTATGTGGTTAAGTACGGGAATTTATAAACACGGGGAAAACAATGTAGATCTGTGTCACATACATCTGTACATATATAGATGCTTCCTATTTACGCTATACTAATGAATTCATCAGGTTGTTCGGTAAAAAACATACACAGAATGTCTTGTGTGAAGTTGTTAGCAAAGAGTCTTTGTAATTCATTTCTCTCAGTTTAAAAGGTAAATAATACTCAAATAAATAAAGATTATTGAAAATTGTAGATCAGTGTTTGAAGATTTACTAAATTCTTCGTTTATATACGCATATTCCGCTACACACACACGTGCACACATACAGACGCACACAAATATATGTGTGTATGTGTTTTGAAAAATTAAAAGATTTTATAAAACATGCATGCAACAAACTATTTCTTATTTAACAATTAAAATATTTAATCCTTGAAAATGGCTAAATGTACAGCCGAAAGCGCTCGGAAAAAAAAAGACATTCGGACAGTTTTTATATAATTTATCATCTCAAAAGAAAAAAATTATTAGATCGCATGAGAAATTGTATGAAATGTGCATGAAATAAGGATTGCTGCCTAAATACACACACACACACACATATATATATGTATATATATGCTCATATATGTATGTATCGTATATCTGTATCACGCTCCACTTATCTACCCATCTCTCTCTCTTTCTCTCTCTCTCTCTCTCTCTCTCTCTCTCTCTCTCTCTATCAATCTTTATATCTATTTAAACCATTTATCTCTTTCTTCCCATCTGTCCATTTCACTGCTCATCATCTATCTATCTATCTATCTATCTATCTATCTATCTATCTGCCCCTGCTCATATAGTGATAAATGTATGTGTCTATCTACCTATCGTCATATATCGCGCTCATCTATCCATTAATCTATCTATCTGGACTATTCATCTTGTTCTGCTCATCTATCTATCTATCTATCTATCTATCTATCTATCTATCTATCTATCTATTTCTGCTCATGTATATATGTATGAATGCATCTATCCTGCTTTACATATCTATCTATCTATCTATCTATCTATCTAGGTACAAAATTTAATCACAGAAATAAAAATGTGAAGCTTGATATTACCAGACATATTAAAAATGGCGAAGCAACCGGTTTCGATCCCACTCTTCAGCAGGCTTCCACGAGAGATTTAATTTAAATTAAAAACACTAGAAAATGTGCAATGAAAAGGAAATGTGGAGGGAAAAAATACGAACACAAAGAGCTAGAGACAAATAACAGCGATTCCCAACAAACATTCACGCTGTTTAC